TGTTTGTGTGTTTTGGCGTAACGTAAACTCTAGTGTGAAGGTGCACGACTCGCTGACGCTTTCTCTCACACGCGCAAAGTGAGAGAGAGAGAGAGAGAGAGAGAGAGTCACACATAACATGCAGAATTGATGTGATACATGTAAACAATATTCTTTGTTTTATTTTCCTGTCAAAATAACGGAGTTTCTTTGGAATTCTTCAGCTTTTAAGAAATGCTGGGTTTGTGGTCAGTTAATGTGCCATTCCCATCCTGTAGTGTACATCCTCGGTCACTACACTGTAATGTCACATAATAGTCAGGGATCTTTTGCTGGGTTCACCCAAGCAAAATGTAAATATGCAGTATTTCTGGAAAAAAAAAATATATATATATATATATTTTTTTTTTATAAATAAAATCAATTAGAGAAGCTTTTAATTATTAAAATGTAAGGAACCATTAAAATTTAATCCAGAAAATAATGGAAAACAGAATTTGGTAAAGATAAAACTGTAAACCTCAATTAATTATACAGGCTTTTTGATTAATAAAATTTTATGTAACCATTAAAACAGAGTATAGAAAAATGAAAATGGAAAAAACTGAATTTGGAAATAAAACTGATTTCATAGTGCCCTATAATTATAATAAAAAAATTGTGGTAATAAAAATAGATGTAAGTGAACAATAGCCTTTAAAATGACTTAAAATACATATATAATAGCAATGAGGCAACAATAATTAGTTCAAATAAAGTATCAAAAGCAAGATATATGGTTTTATTGAACAAAATTGTTAAAATACATAATGTATTATAAACAATAGAGCTAATGTACATTACGCATTACAACAAAGGCCTGCAGGGGGCGCCAATGGCCTGAAGATTGTTTTTACACATTACTGTGCGATTTAATCCTTGTTTAATATTGACCAAGCACCATTTCATTCAAATGTCCACTTAATATTTAATATTTGGCCATTTCTTTAGGATCGAAATGCCATAGCCACTGTAATTAAATGAATATGTGGACATCAAAACGTGTAAACTCAGAATGAGGGTTTGAGCTTTTATTTTGAAACCGCGATGTGTTTGTGTAGATTTATACCTTACAAATCTGATGAAATGGCGCGTGTTGCGTTCCCAGATTAACGTTATAATAAACCCAAACTCACAACAACTAGTGCTGTGTTCGATACATAGATACAATGATGTATCGTCACAGAGATTTGACGATACGAGTATCGATACAGCTGACTCTGTATCGATATTGTGGCAGGTGTGCAGCAGTGGACCGCCCTTAATTTGAATACAAGAACAACGTTTAAAATTGAGCAGAAAAGTGCGAGGTTTCTAAAAAATAATGAATAGAGCATAATATATAGGCTATAACTAGGTTTAATCTGGCCGCAGAGGAGCACAACTGGGTTGCCTGATATAAAGAGACGTAATCTACTTATCTTTGTCAACCTGGCAACCATGTGCAGGCACGCTCTCTCTCCACTGTGGATAAACGCGCTTGCTTTCTGAAACACCGGTTTTAGCTTGCAGTTAAGCGATCTCCACCTCAATATTCTATTCATGCATTCAGTGTATGTATGAATTACCAACGTTTTGCCGCGTTTCTCTATTAACAGTGAAGCTGTGGCTTTAATTCCTTTAGAAACAATGATGTTACCAGCTACTTGTTGAGAATGATAGCGTAGCTCTTGAGCGATTAAGCTATTTAGTTGATAAAATTGCGGGGTTGCGCTAAAAAGTTTGTTCCTGAATGTCTGAGTGCGGCCACAACGTGATCTGTGTGAGTGACCGAGTGTGTGTTTGCGTTAGATACAGTGAAGGCAGTGCATTAGTTAACTCTTCAAATTTTAATTTTTTAAACGTAGAGAGTGCAGATTTGACGATACGAGTATCGATACAGCCGACTCTGTATCGATATTGTGGCAGGTGTGCAGCAGTGGACCGCGCTTAATTTGAATACAAGAACAACGTTTAAAATTGAGCAGAAAAGTGCGAGGTTTCTAAAAAATAATGAATAGAGCATAATATATAGGCTATAACTAGGTTTAATCTGGCCGCAGAGATATGCAAAAAACTATCGCGATTTCTTTGATCAATTTTGCGATTTCGATTTTAATCGCGATTTTGACACACACAGACAATGCTTTACAGTCAGAAATGCATTCACTGTGAATTTGAAACATATTTCCAAAAGAAAACCAATTAGAGCTTTATCAAAAGCTGTAACATGTCTCTAGAAAAGACATAAGGCAAAATAATCACTAAGTAAAGGTGTAACAAAATGTCTATAGAATAGACATATATGGCAGAAAAAGAAAAAAAAAATTCTGTGTCCAGGGATTTTTTTTCCCCATGAATTGGTCATAGAGCTTTTTGTGGTGTTGCCTCAGATGTTGAACTAGATTTGTTGTGCCAAGTTCACTCGTACTCCGTCTGCAGTGTGTATACAGTACGTGTATGCGGTGCAGAAGCAGCACGGACTCGTTTTGCTTTCGCACAGGACGCGTTTGCAGTCCGCTCCTGATCCGTGGCTGTTTACCACAAACACAACATTTAGCCATTATTTTGATTTCAAATCCAAACGTTTCTGAAAATGCTTTTTCAGCATTGTGATTCTCGTTTATCACAGTACAATACAATCTTTCATAGACATATTCACGTTTAAACTCAATAAATATAACTTTGTTTAACTACCACCACAAGTGCCATCTATTATTGCCTTGTTTATCTAAAAGTGCACTTTTCCTTGTTTTAAATCTAGCCAAAAAGCCATGTGTTGACTGTGAAACAGTAGACTTTAATTATATCATCGCATATAATTATTTAATTAAATCGTAGCATATGTGAATTCACAAATATGATTAATTATATTTTTAAATGGGTTTAATATATCATGCAGCCTTGGAAAACAGACTAATAATGTGTTTTATTCATTCTCGTTTGTGAAATGCGCCACTTCCGGTATTTTGCTGGTTAGTCGACGTGAGCAAAATGAAGTCGAGGATTTTTTAAAATCGAATAGTCTAATAAAATCGACGTATCGCGACAGCCATAGTTGGCTGTTTTTTTTAATGTGGCTCATTCAGTCAGTTTTTAAAGCGGAACGAACCATTTTTATAATATGGCTCTGATTGTCCTTATGAACACACCTGGTTTGACCCGTGTTGTTGATTGATTGATTTCTTCTTTTTTTTTTCCCTCCATCATTCCCTTATGTTGTAATATTGTTTTTTGCCTTTGGATTCAACGTGAGGGGTGAGAGACAAATCAAGGGTCAAAAATCCCTGTAGGCTCTAAGTTGTAAGATTTAATAAGAGATCAAACTGAGTTTTAGACTCACGCCATAAATTCGCCAAAGGACATGCAATGACTGCAGCTGTGGCCTCCTCTCCTTACCTCTCCTCTCCCGGGATGTCTCTGTCTCTGTGGACATTCTGCTGTTGCCTAGATACGGTTATAGAGTCGTTCCTCTTCCCCCCTCTCAAATCTCATTGAAGGTTCTAGTGTAATACCACATTCATTCTACCTGACAGGTCCCACACTGCTCTCTAAACCCCCCTCAAGACACGGCCCGTCACACATGGCAACACCCAGACTGTTTTCTCTCTCAAGGGTTTCCATAGTAAGGGGTGAATTGAGCCGAACCACATTACACTCGTTTAATATTAATATCTTTGTTTTTTATTTATTTTGTATTAATCATGTATTTCTGCATTATAATTTTTTTTCAGCAGGGTTGCACATAAATGTTTTGGATGATTAATTGATTTTTCTTTTGATTAATCTGTAAAAAAAAAAAGCCATTGCTGCATTTTATCGAAAAAGCATATTGTTCTGCATATTGTCCAGTTGTCTCTTTTTTTAAATCTTGTTTAAATTGAATAATGTAATTATATTTAGAATTTTATTTTTTATAAATTAACATGCAAATTACCATAAAATGTGTTATTTATTAACATTCATATGTGTATTTATAAATAGTTTATAAATATTTAGAATGAGTGTTTTTTATTTAAAACAACATGTATACTAAATATATATACTAACAATATTAATACATTTTTATTCATTCAATTTTTACATTGTTTGAAGACAATAAATCAGTTAATTTAATAACCAGTATTTTATTTTAAACTATTTGAAAAAATTTAAATATAAATAATATAATTTCCTGTAAAATACATTTATTGTGTACTGTTACTGTAATATAAAATTATTCATACAGTCATAAGAAACGTTGGACTGTATTCCTGCCCTAATATTCATTGTTTAAAAACTTTAACGTTACACTTTGAAGTGCACATAACATATTTTTTCCACATCACACTATTTGTTGTTTATCAGTTAGATGCTTATGTTTTTACTGCAGCCCTAAAATTCAGTAAGAATTGTAAGATCGTCTGAATCAAAAATAGATTCTGAGATACTTTGGTTATGAGTGTACTAATCATAACCATACTAAAAGAGGCAGGAAGTGAGTGTTTGTTTGATCTATTTCATGAAGTGGATTTGAGGAAGCTATCATAAAGGAAGTGCCAAACGTCATTAATGCAGCTTGATGGGGGTCTGGTTTGGGGAGAAGGGCTGTCCCACTCCATGAGCACACTCGGTGGACCCCCCACACCATCCCCATCCCTGAAGACCGCAACATGCCTGAGCACAGCAGTGCAGCTTCTCTCAAGAGCTCCCACATAAGATTTGTTTCTGCGTTCCTACCCTTGAGTTTATACTGCGTGGGACGAGAGAAGAGGGAAGACAGATTAGCATACCATCACTTTTTTTTTGCCTGTTTACCATGGTCTACTTTAATTCTCTGATACACAAAGTAAACACACTGTAGATAGACTCTCTTCTGTCTTCATGGCTGTATGAATAACTTTAGTTTTGATATTAAGGGATATTATAATCCCTAATGAGTCGTTTTCTTTGATCTATTCATAACATGAGCTGTTTTTGTGTTCCTCTGTGTATTCTGAATATTTCTTTTTGTTTCCCAACAGGAGTCTGGTTAAGAAATATTGCCCCAAGCGCTCCAAAGATGAGGAGCCCAGGTGAGATAAATTGCATACTTTCTTTTTTTCCCCACTTATTCTGGTGTGCTCTCAAGTGGTTATGTTTGCAGCTATTTACACTTTTAATGGATAATTTAAAAAAGTTATTTATATATTAGAACCCGACCGATATATCGTTTAGCCGATATGAGCCTGTCGCCGATATATCGTATCGGCAGATTTTTTTTTTTACAGAACATATAACACAGATAAAATGCTTGAAATGGTGTAATTACTTAGTTTGTCCAGCAGAGCCTGCTCCAATGTTTGCTACTGGCTTCCTGGATGAAACACTTTAAAGCTTAAGTCTATGGAAAACCACTGAAACTTTGAACGGCCATATCTCGAATCCGCACCAAATTCGAGGGATCCCTTCAGCTCGAGGAACCCTCTCGAACACTAATCAAGTGTATGTCTCGAGGCCCTCTTTCGAATGAGACCACCCCCCGCGTCGATAGCCCCTGGGTTTCGTGAGTTATGGGCGGTTAAATTCACGGTCCGACGCCGACCGATCTAGCGATCCCGGGGGGCTACCGACGTGCAGAGGGTGGCGTTCGAGAGGACTCCTCGAGCTGAAGGGATCCCCCGAATTTGGTGGAGCTCCGCCGACGCGTTCACGAGATAGTGACACCTGCCAACACTTTCACTTCAGTAAGGAGGTCTCTTGTTCAGGCAGCAGCATTCAAGCTTTGGCTTATTCGACCGTAAGTGCCCTGCGAAGTGGACTTCACATGATATTCTGCCGTGATTCCAGTTCCAAGGGAACGTACACGTTACATTCAAAGGGCATTAAAGTGCGCGAGACGTGAATTAATTAAGGTATATTATGTCACACTTCACACTTCTCTAGTAAGTTTCGTCTGTGTGTGAAGACAGTAGGCTAGCGCAAATCAGTGAATGAATGTTCCAAAGTGAAATAAACTTCAATGGAATAAAGTTGAATTGAATTGAATTAAAGTTGAATAAACTTCAACTTTAATGTTCAGTGCACTGATGTCAGACTCATTTTGGATAATAACGTTTATTGTTAAATTGTTAAATGCCTTGCCTCGATCAACTTAACATCAGTCAGTCAAGCATTATAATATGATAATCAAGTATTATTTAATGGTAGAACTTTAATAATTAGAGTTGAAACTTGATAACCATGTTTGAATGCATATTAGTCATTTTAACAGAACATTTTAACTGGACTGGTGGTGGTGCTTTTTGGTCATTCAGTGTTTCTGTAAAAAAATTTAGAAAAAACTAACAAAGATATTGATAATATAATAATGATACGAATTCTACTAATAAGAACAATATAAAACGCACTAAGGATTAATTAGCTGCTGTATTCATGATTATTAATCGGGTTGTGCGCGTTCGCTCGAACTGATTTGCTGAAATCAAAACAGGGACGATAATAGGTGAGCGCCAGCCAATGAGATTGCCGTTTGCGCATTAGTTCCGCCTCACTACCGGAGAACCTGGTAGTTCTTAAGAGCTGAAGAATTCCAAAAGAACTCCGTTATTTTGACAGAAAAATACAACAAAGAATATCGTTTACATGTAGCGCGTCAATTCTTTCTCTCTCTCTCTCTCTCTCTCTCTCCATTCAGATGAATGAAAAATTTCACAGATCGCTTGATGGAGAGTGAAACTCTGAAGCGCTCCGTCAGAGAGTTCTGTGAGTGAAAATATATCTGTGCTAAACTTATGCTTAGCCTCCAACTCACACACTGGCGAGTAAAATCTGAGAATTTATTAGTCATTGGCTAATATTAGAGATGCACCAATCGATCTGCCAAGGATCGGAATCTGCCGATTTTCCTCATGAACGGCCGGTCAGTCTCACTTCTTTCCGATTTCCAGCCGATCCATTTTGTTACAAGCGACACAGGCAATAACGTCAGTCACGCGTTCTCGCTGTCTTCTCTCCGACGACCTCTTCTCTCTTACACACGTCTCATTCGCTCCAGTTAAATAGTGCTTGTATTGCGCATTATTTTAGTCATTCCAAAAATATACCAAACGCGCGCGCTTCACCACTGATCTATATTAGTGGAGCGCACAATCCGCGCTCAGTCTCAAACAGCTTGTGAGCCACAAATACCAAAATGAGTGGCTAACTGCGCTAAAACGTTCAAATACATAAAAATTTTTCAAAATGCCCGTTTTGGCGAGTATCCAGTTAAACAGTCAGTTTTGGAACGTTAACTAGTTGAGAAAGAGAACGCATGTTGTGTAACAGTATATTGGGTCCGTGGATAAACTCTTAAAGGGGCCGCAGTCCAATATTTATGCTGCTGTCATGTTAATCAAAAGACAAAGAAAATAATTTTCTGTGCTCTTGACTGAATACGTTTTATAACTTTAATGGTAAGCATTAATCTGTATTTTTTACAATGAAGACTACAGAAATTAAAGTAATCAAATGTAAAATAACACTGGATGTGTTATTTTACATTTGATTACTTTAATTTCTGTAGTATTTCTTTACTGAATAAAAGCTTACTTAACCTGAAAAACTTAGTTTCATAGCTCTCTTTATTCTATTGCATTTATTTGTGCTGTTGTTTGCTATTTTTTTTATTTGTTCTTATGTTATTACTGACTTTTTACTTGTGTTTTTTTAATGAAAATAAAACTGCGTTGAAGAAAAGTAGGTTTTTGTTTGTATATGCTGTCAATTATAGTTCTTGGAAAGAATATCAAAATCGGCGAAAATCGGTATCGGCAGATCACACTAACAAGGAAATCGGAATCGACCAAGAAAATTGCAATCAGTGCATCTCTAGCTAATATTAGTCATCATTTAGTTGCCCAGAGTAAAGATTTAGTTGCATATGAGAGTGATTTACTCGCAATGTAGAGGGTTGTGACTGGGTAAAAAAAAAAAAAAAAAAAAATTTCCCCTTAACACAATATATTTTGTTTTTGAGCAACATACAGAATATTAGGAACAGTAGAATTTGTTTATTTTTTCTTTGATTTGTTTCCTAAAAAGAAGAAAAATAAAGACTGACATCTTTATTTAACCTAAATCTGTAATTACAGTTATTTAATTTTAGCTATAAATTTCATATACATATAATTTATATCATTTCATATAATTTAGTTATATAATTTCATATACATAATTTGATTTAATAATAACCCAATTTGAAGCAAAAACAATGTTCTGACTAGCTTGAAGAAAAGTAGGTTTTTGTTTGTATATGCTGTCAATTATAGTTCTTGGAAAGAATATCAAAATCGGCGAAAATCGGTATCGGCAGATCACACTAACAAGGAAATCGGAATCGACCAAGAAAATTGCAATCAGTGCATCTCTAGCTAATATTAGTCATCATTTAGTCGCCCAGAGTAAAGATTTAGTTGCATATGCGAGTGATTTACTCGCAATGTAGAGGGTTGTGACTGGGTAAAAAAAAAAAAAAAAAACTTTTTCCCCTTAACACAATATATTTTGTTTTTGAGCAACATACAGAATTTTAGGAACAGTAGAATTTGTTTATTTTTTTTTTTATCTGCCCCAAAAAACCCATATCGGTCGGGCTCTATTATTATATAGTTAGTAACAGACTATTACATATACTTCTAGAATACTTGATTCTGATTGGTCAGTAAGGACATTATTTTGGTCAAATATTCAAACCGTTTAATAGTCCATTGTCCAGAGAAACTGATTTCCTATATAGGTAGACTTTCATGTGTCTCATATTACTCTGCAGTCTGTTTCCTCATAGATAGTCTATCTAAAACAAAAAAAAATTTTTTTTTAAATTTGAATAAATACTGTTCTTTTTTTGTTCCGGATTTAAAAAAAATCCTTGTTTACAAGTAGTGTTTTTATTGAGACAGTTGCAGCAGCATGTGATAGTAATAATTACAATAATTAATATAGCACAATATCTGCATTGATGCATGTGGATGTATAGGCATACTGTTTTCATTTAAAAAAAGGCAAAAGAACATCTGTCTATTCACATGCCTGATGATAAAGATATGTTGGGAGGTAGATTTTATATATGTTTATTTATTTATTTATACTCAAGATTTATAAACATACATTCTGATTTACTATTATATTGTCTGAATAATAACAATATATATTCACAATTTACATTTATATATTCAAAATTACATTAATTTTTTTTACTTTACATTATATTTTCAGATTTACTTCTATGTATTCAGACTTTAAACTCTATATTCAGATGTACTTATAAAAATGTATTCATGATTAACATTTATATATTCAGTTTTGTATATAAATTTCGGACTTAAATCTATATTTTGCAGTTTACATTTATATATTCAGAATTATAACTACATATTCACAATTTACACTTATATAGTTAGACTTATATCTGTATATACAGATTTACTTTTACATTTTCAGATTTGTATCAATATATTCAGATTTATAAATATATATTCTGATTTACTTCCTTATATTCAGACTTACAACTATATATTCACAATTTACATTTATATATTCAGATTTTATATAATGAAATATATATATATATATATATAGAGAGAGAGAGAGAGATATAGCCATGCTGATATAGAGCCGGTATCGCTCTCGTACTCGAGTGATATTGCTCATATAAATTACTGAACTGAAACTACAACTGAAAGAAAGATAAATTAATCTACAGTGATAATACTTAAAAAAAGAAAAAAAAGAAAATTATTTAAAAAAAAATAATAATAATAAATGACAAAAGTGGAAATTAAAAGCGGGAAATAAAAACATTTAAGTTTGAGCTACCATTAATTCTTTAAAGTTGAACTCATGATATTATTTCATTGTATGTCTTGGCTGCAGTTACTGTCCTAAGCAGCATGTTTCTTCCCTGTTGCCTGTAGATTTAGGTTGAAAGCAGAAACCGGGGAGTATATGCTGGGTGTCAGCTCCAGATCCTCCCAAATCCCGTAATGAATTCCGTTAGATAGGCATAATTTCTCCCAGCATGTGTTTTTGTCCCAGGACATACCTCATGTAGTGTAGAGACAGCTCGCCGATTAGAACTCAACCCTGGAGGTGGGGGACATTTGCTTTGGACAAAAAACTCTGTCCTGCCCTCCCAATACACTCACATGCTTAAAGAGGAGAGATGAACAGATTTGTGTGTGTGTGTGTAAGAGTGGATTTTTAATATAGTGAGCTAGTCATGCCTTGCAGACTGACCTTTAGTCAATATCAACATACAGATAGAGTCTGCCGACCCCCAGGACCCATGACGGCAACTTGAAGAGAAGCTGCATGTGTCTGGTGATAAATTCACTTAATTTTTTATGAGGGCATAGACATCTCTCAAAAATAAGGCAGTAAAATGTCCCATATTAGAATGTAAGACTTTAGCTCAGATGCAAGATGTTCAGATATCCTAAAATTACATAAGTTATTTTAAAGTTTACTAATATTTCTAAATGGTAATAGGTTGACACGTAGGTCATTTTGAGATTATCACCATGTTAATCATTCTTTACTTTTGTGCTATGGACAACAAAAGCAAAAGAAAGCTTGCAAAATGTATTTGTTTGATGGAACTAAATATTTTAGCAAATTGAAAGATCCTATGTAGTTTTCATTGCAATGGTGTACTGTGATTTTACCATGAAAATAGCCATTGATGCTAATATGACAATAAAAATAAACAAGATTTAAACAGATCATTTTTTCCATTTTCTTGTTGAATATTTTCTTCCTGCAGGTTCACATCCTGTCTGTCATTCTACTCCATACTGAATGAGTTGAATGACTACTCAGGTCAGCGAGAGGTCGTTGCTGAGGAGATGGGGCACAAAGTCTATGGGGAGCTGATGAGGTACTCACAGGACCTGAAGGCAGAGAGGAAACATGTGAGTGTCGAATACATGCACCTGAGACAACTGCACATTCTGGTGAAGTTCAATACAAGAAGTTGTATTTGAAATATTGTTGTATCTTGTCTGATCAACAGCATCTCCAGGAGGGACGAAAGACCCAACAGTATCTAGACCAGTGCTGGAAACACATGGACAATGTGAGTCATTTTGAGATTAGAGATCAGAAGTACTGGTACTTTGGTACAAAAAAAAAAATCACAGTCAATTATGTCTGAAACAGCTGGGACAAACATAATAGTAGTAGTAGTAATACTTTTTGTTCAGTTTTTTTATGTTTGACTGCTTGATACTACTAATAGCTCAAAAACTGTTTACTTTGCATCTTTATTATAATTTTTTATTTTATTGGCTGTAATTTGTTTATTTTTCCTTTATTTTATTAGTAACTGTTCACTTTATCAATAAGTAATTATTAATTAATGATTTGAAATAATTATTTGAAATACCTGAAGCAGTATATATATAATTATTTAAATACTTTGATAATAATAATATTAATTATAATTCTCATTTAAATCCAGTTTGCTTTGCAAAGTTAGATTAAAAAAAGTTTATTAACAAATAAACATAACAACAAAACAACATTTCTCAGACCAAGAGCTGAAGAGTAATAAGCAGGGAGGATGCTTTACTGTATGCTTTTGATTTAATATTCAGTGGCGTATTATTTTTTGCTGTTTTTCAAATTGAATATGAGAAACGTGAAATTTTACTGATATTGGTAGCAACCACAGAAATGTTGGAATAGCATCAGCCCTTTTTGAGATGGTTTGTACGTCTGCTAGTTGCACTGTTGTTAATGGCTGAGTGCAAGTGACTGATTCACAACCTCTCCTCCAGCTGTGACCTGAGATCCAGATATATCTGTGTGTGTTTGTGCAAGTATAAAACAGAAGAATGTGTCAAAGGCTGTTGGCAGTGTACAAATGGAAACCTTCCTGTGCCACATTCATGTTATAAAGCTCTCTCTTTCCATTCTCCATTTCTCTCCAATTCATACCCTGCGCTGCATTCCTGCATCCTGTACATTTCCTGCCTGTCAGTGCTTCTCATAGACTGTACAGCTGGAGTATTTTTGCAGCCTTATGGTTGCTACAGCTAAAGGCCAGCAACAGCTGAATCTGGCATTGAGAATGGCCATGTCGTAATAACATAGGTATTCCTCGCTCTTGTACTGTCACAAAATGAAACACAGATGCTTTGGAAGCTGTTACACAAATTTCATTAGCACTCTCGCTCTCTGTACTGTTTTGGATGTTTGTTTGTACGTTTATCTGTATTTATGTTGCTACTTGATCAAAACATGACTTTTATGACTATTTTACGCAGGAAGATCATCAATGCTCAAGTCGTGTTGCAGGAAATGCGTCATGTGTGTTTTGACAGCCCAACAACGTGTCTCCTTTTCTGTATGGATTTTACAGAGTAAAAAGAAGTTTGAACGGGAATGCAAAGAGGCCGAGAAATCACAGCTCATCTACGAAAGGCTAGACAGCGATATCAACGCCACGAAGTCAGAGGTGGAAAAGGTAGTTTGTTGTGGTCCTAATATACTCTACATGACTTAAAGTTATTGACTGAATATTATCTGAACCATTTGGAAAAACGTTGCAAAACAGTACTTGAGTGCAGTTTTTGGCCTAAAACTGGAAGTTGTCCTGACTGAGTTGTATTCCTGAAGTATTAGTAATACAGATGACCATTCATTCTGTCTTAGGCAAAGTCCCAGCTGTATCTGAGACAACACATGGCAGAGGAGAGCAAGAACGAGTATGCAGCCCAGTTGCAAAACTTTAACTCTGAACAGTGGAAACATTTCAACGTGGCCATCCCTCAAATATTCAAGGTGATGATATACCTGATTTGTAGTTTCTGATATTTCAGTTCAATTTTTTTTGTAAGTTCTTGAAGTCCAAGCTTTTAGAGACTATACTCACTGAATAAATTGTTAACAAACTTGTTATTTTAGTATTATTTATATACTATTATAGTATTTATTAATATTTAATACATTTTATTTTTTATTTTTATTTAAGTTTTAGTAATTTTTGGTGCTTTTTTTAAATGTTTATTTATTTTCTTTTAATATATCTGAATATTATTTTTCAGTTTCAGTATTAGTAATTTTAGTACTTAAACTTATTTTATTCCAGTTAGTTGACAGGGCAACATTTCTTTAAGTAAATTTTTCATCTAATATTTATATTTTATTTCAGCTTTATTTCAGTTAACATTAACTATTGTTAATAGTTTCAGTTAACAATAACACTGTGATAAATTGCATTTGGTTTGCGACCACTCACAGAAAAGATCTAATGAATCAAATGTCTAGTGTAGTTTTGTGTATGTAGTTGATTCTTTTGTGTCTGTGTGCTTGTAGAATCTGCAAGACATGGATGAACGGCGGACGGTCAAGCTTGGGGAGATGTACCGGAGTTTTGCTGAGGTGGAACGAAGAGTCATTCCCATTATCTCAAAATGCTTGGAGGGCATGGTGACTGCCGCTAAAAATGTGGACGAGCGTAGGGTAAGTGCTAAAATGCTATTAAAATGTTCAAGAGCCCTACAAAAATGAATTGGGTACTGGTTAAACATCTATAAATTCTAGAATTAAATATTAACAATATAAAAACTGCTGTTCAAAAACAAAAATAATTTATACTTTAAAATATATTAAAATAAAAAAAGAACAGTTATTTAAATTGTAATAATATTTCAGATTATTACTGATTTTACTGTATTTTTGACCTAATAAATGCAGCCTTGGTGGGCATAAGAGAGTCCTTTTATAAAACATTTTAAAAAATCTTACTGAACTTCTGTTTAGTAGAACAAGATTCATTTTCATCAGAGAAAGATTCATTTTATATCCAGGTGGTGCAGTTATGACATCTAACATGCTTTGATAACCAGGTTTCATCCATTTGTTGCCTCAAGTAAATTATTACGCTCCATTATGAATTTAAGGAAATATACTATACTTCTCCCTGAGGTCGTTTTGTACCTGTGATCTCCTTGGTAGCTGCGGTCCACTTCTTGATAGAAAAAAGGGATTATCAGAGACAGCGAGTAGGCGGGAGGAAGCGAGGGAGTGGATGATTGGGAGCAAGGGAGGTTGAGAGAAATAAGTTGCTCATTTTCTTAGTGCTGTCGCCAGTGCTGATGCTTATGAAAAGGCGCCACAACCGCTGATTACTTTTTTATCTTGCCCTGTTTTAGTCTCCCTCTCTCTTTCTCTTTCTCTTTCTGTCCTGGTCTTGTATGAACACTACTGTTCAAAGGTTTGGTGTTGGTTAAATTGTTATATATTTTTTTTATGTTTTTGAATATTCTCTTTTGCTCAACAAGGCTGTATTTATTTGATCTTTCTACAGTAAAATATTTTTTAATATTGTGAAATTTTGCTTTTTAAAATAACTTTTTTCTATTTTAATATATTTTAATATGTAGTTTTTACCTTTTAAGACAAAGCTGAATTTTCAGCAGCTATTACTCATCTTCAGTGTCACATGAGCCTTCAGAAATTATTCTAATATGCTTAGTAAAAAAATCTTATTGACCCCGAATTTTGAAAATTTGATATAGAACTTCTAAGAAATACTTTGACTTTGGAGTCAAAGTTCTTAGCCAAAAGTAGGACTTCAGTTGTATGTGAAGAAACTAAAAGCAACTTAGTGAAGTCTAAGACCTGCTTAAATACAGACACTTAATCCTGCGTCCCACCAGCCAATTTTCTTTTCACCAGTTTTCCATCATAAGTTATATTTTAAAGAGGATCACTATTTTTCTTGAACAACTGTGTGCAGCCTCAGGTGTGTTAATGGCCCCAGCAAACGCATACTGAGTTAATAGCCCAACTGACATTCAGACAAGATCTCAGTGCTCGTAACACACATTTAGCAGCTCCTAACTAGGTTAGGATACCCCTCCAGGTTTCTTAAATAATTTAGCATTTAAGACCATCTAATTTATGCACATCTTATACTAGAAATAATGCTGCATTCACATTTTGGTGAATTACTGTAATTTCAGGATGACAGCTCAAAGATTCTACTCGGAGCTGTTCACATCCTCATACTCGAAACCTACAGACTTCCTGACCTTTTTATATCTTTTTAACAACATGGATTCACGTTTTTCCTTCCCTTGAAAGTAGTTCTTGTTTCTAAAAACCCTTAATTTAAATGATGTAATGAAAGTTAAAACTAGCTTCTAAACAACATTTAACAAGCTAGACTTTGCTCATTTAGCCATTTAACTAGCTAGATGAGTGATTTTAGATGAGTTTTGCATGTTCATTTGTTTGTGTTTGGTTAGTAGTTCACCGTAAATCTTTGTTGTCCCAGATTCCCCCGTCCATCCCTCCCCCTTCTCTCCCGAGTTTTCCCTCTGGCCATTTCCACCCTCCTAAATTTTCTACAGAGCGGATAGCTAACCATCTATCTGAAATGAGAAATGCAAAATCTAAGATCCCATCCTTCCGAACTGTGAAAAGAGGGGTAAGAGTCGGCCTGGAACTGGCGTGTGTGGGTTTGCCGTGATTATGACGTTAGTGCTTATGCTTGGGCCGTTTTCTCTCACCCAAGGTTTAGCTAATTCCTGCACATGAGGAAAAATCACAATTGTTTTTGAGTGAAGGAATAAGGCTTTATCTGGGTTCAAAGAACTGTGCCCCTAATTTTAGCTGTGGGGTTTAAATGCTTGTTTGATTTTTGCGTCAGGCTGCAGAATATGGTGGAGGGAGTGTTGGGTGGATGTTTTTTTATTGCTTTATTTTTTTTATACACATGCAAATTTGCATATTACAGAATACGGCATAGTAGCTCTTTTCCATATACCTGTGTTCACACTGACAGTAATTTTAGTTACACAAGTTGCATTGCCTGTACTCTCTTTGGTAGATGCTGCAGTTTTGCATTTACATGATTGATGTTGCTTGTTTCTCTCATTTGAATATTGCAGTAACTTGCAGTTACTTTAATGCTATAAATCGCTGTCATGGTGAACATGTATTAAAACAGACTTGAGGATGGGACACAATAACTTTACAAACATGAGAGGATTGTCTTCTGGATATACATTGAGTTTAGTCTGGGAGATTCACAGTTTTGAATAATTCTCCTTTGAACATCTTTTAAACACGAAAAATCCCATTGTGAATCTTTTTGTAGAAAAGTGCCCATCAAAGTCATTTTAATTATCTTAAAAGACTTTGTACCAGTCTGACCTTATCTAAACAACAGAGCAAATTATGACACTTCACATATGGTTTGGTGAGGAGGCAATGAGGTTTTTGCTAAGGTTTAATATTTGTGAATAGCTCTTTTAACTGGATACAGCTATTCTAAAATTTCACAAGCACCATCTTTGTTTCCTCAAGATTTTCTTGGTGTATATAGCCAAGTTTCAGTAGTGTGTATGATTGTACACCAAACCTACTGAATGTTTGCAAATTCAAGCTACAATAGAAGAATATTGAATTGCTGTCATTATTTAAAGGAGTAGTTCACTTCCAGATTAAAAAATTCCTGATCATTTTCTCACCCCCGTGTCATCCAAGATGTTCATGTCTTTGTCTTCAGTCGCAAAGAAATTAAGGTTTTTGAGGAAAACATTCCAGGATCTTTTTTCCATAAAATGGACTTCAGTGGGACCCAATGGGCTGAAGGTCATATTGCAGTTTCAATGCAGCTTCAAAGGGCTCTACACGATCCCAGCCGAGGAATAAGGGTCTTGTGTAGAGAAACGATAATTTTCTTTAAAAAATAAAAATGTATGTACTTTTCAACCACAGATGCTCGTCTTGCACTAGCTTGACTTCACGCATTATGTAATCACGTTGACGTAGGCAGAATGTTGTAGGAGAAAATGAGAAGGAGTTTTTCACCCTACCCTACCTTTCTGAACCGGAGTACACAGACGAAGAGCTAACCGCACGTGACCTTTCCAACGTGATTACGTCGTGCGTGACGCGCATTGCGGAGCTAGTGCAAGATGAGCATTTGTGGTTAAAAAGTATATCAATTTAAGAAAATGATGATCGTTTCTCTAGATAATACCCCTGTTCCTCGGCTGGTACCGTGTAGAGCCCTTTGAAGATGCATTGAAGCTGCAATTTGACCTTCAGCCCGTTGGGTCCCATTGAAGTCTATTTTATGGAGAAAAACCCTGGAATGTTTTCCTCAAAGACCTTAATTGAAGACAAAGACATAAACATCTTGAATGACATGGGGGTGAGAAAATTTGCAGGAAATTTGTATTCTGGAAGTGAACAACTACTTTTAAATCATCTGTTGTGGTGTTGACTAACACACTGACAACTGCCATAACGGATGACCTTTTCCTAGTAGTTCAGATAAACTTATTTGAAAACCACTTCTGTAAAACCAAATTCCATGATATTACCTGTTCTTCTTTTACCTTCTACTTTATAACTTAGCTTAAACAGAAATATTAAAAACAAAGATGAGATTGTTGTGAGGTTTCAGGCTGGTTCAGGTTTTTGACCAGACTTCCAAAATGTCTTTCTTGTGGTATTAACCATGATAAACTCACAAGAACTGAGCTAAAGCTACTGGCTAATGCCTGATAAGATGGGTCCATTCTGTGTAAACGTGACTAAAATCGTCAGTCAAAATGTATTTGATTGACTGATGTTTATAAGAAATTTTTCTTTGTTCTTTTTGAAATGGCGTGACGTAACCATAACCTCTCAGTGGTCTTTAAAGCTGGTAAGTAATGTGTGTTTTGGACTGCTTTAGTATATATGTGATATGAGGTTTAAGAACAGACGTTTGAGTGTTTAGTTCTAGGATGCTATGACCGCAATGAAACCCCCTCCTTCCTCAAGTTGTACAGCGTTCTTTCTTTTTGTCTGTCTTATAGTGTGGCTAAATATTTATAAACTTTCAGTGGAATTGCAAAATTGGATTGTATGCTAACAAACGGGCTCATTAAGCTCTAGGGAGGACATCTCTCCTAAGAACGGCTGTTTATACCATGTGCACTGCAACTGGATGCTTGTCGATGCTTCTTTGCCTCCAACCAATAACCTGTATTTGTACAGGCCCCAACACTAGAGGATCTCAGCCACCTTCCCCCTGAACAGAGACGCAAAAAACTTCAACAGAGGATCGATGAGCTGAATAAAGAACTGCAGAAAGAAATGGACCAAAGGTAGACCATGGAGAGTGCTACTCACCCTTTTTTTTTTATAATAATTTCTCTGTGTAGCATTGAGTTTTGCCTTAAGTATTTTTTTCTTGCTGGCTGAATTCTCTATTTGCAGAAAAAAAATAATTTACTTTATTTATTTACAAAAATAGCATATTCATTTATATCAATGTATTTATTTCAATAAATTATTATTATTATTATTGTTGTTGTTTTAGTTACTTTTTTCCTGTATGTATTTATTTATTTTTCTGTTTGTAGCCATGCATGCTCAGTTTAAACTGTTTAAAACCTATTAAATGGATAGAGAATAATATCTAAAAATCATAATTGTCTTTATCACAGAGATGCTCTTAACAAAATGAAGGATGTCTATGAAAAGAATCCTCAGATGGGAGATCCTGGAAGTCTCCAGCCCAAGATTTCAGAGACCATATGCAACATGGAGAAACTCCGCTCTGAGATCCATAAAAATGAGGTAACCTTCCCAGAGGACCGGCTTATTGTTGCAGTCTTATAAGGAAGCACAGCCTCTGGGAATGTACATCTAGATAAATTTGACATAAAACAGCTGAGCGGCTCTGTGTGTTAGCTCCATCTAGTGGAGTAATGGACATAATGCGGTTTCTGCATCACATGAAATGCAATTGATCTTTTAAGTTTCTCATAATAAGCCTTTGAGTTTTAACAGTTGTTCATTAGTAGTACAAGATATTTGAACCTGTATCACTCTTCACCGCTCTCTCTCCATCTCAGAGTTGGCTAGCAGAGGTTGAAGGAAAGCACGGATCCCGCAGTGAGCGACGGTCCAGTGCAGATGTGAACCACCACGCACCCCACGGCAGAGAGAGGTCTGCATTTCCTGATTACATTATCTACATTCTTAAGATAGCCAGGATAGACAATAATATGTCTAGTATACAGCCATCCCTTTTATGAGTCCCTGAACTGTTTGTATATCCATGCGTAGAAGAGCTGTTGCTGTTCTACAAGATTTTTGTAGATATAAATGAGTAGAAAGGCACAGCAGTGGAATTCAAGTAGTCATGTAGTTGGAATATCGATCATAAATATTTCAATGCTAGGGCAGATTGACTAAAATTTAATATCAGCTGTTTTCAACATCATAATAAGAAATGTTTCTTAAGGCACCAAATCAGCATATTAGAATGATTTTTAAAGGATCACGTGACACTGAAGACTGGAGTAATGATGCTGAAAATTCAGCTTGGCCATCACAGGAATATTTAATAATTAAAAATAAATTACAATATAAAACTTATTTTAATTGTAATAATATTTCACAATATTACTGTATTTTTGCTCAAAGGAATGTTTGAGTATAAGCACAAGACCATAAGAGACTTCTTTTTAAAACATTAAACATATTTTGAATAGTAGTGTACTTACTGCAAATACTGCAAATTTACTTATTCTCATTATATTTTATTTTTATTTGGATCTTGATGTACGCAAACTAAAAGATACAACTAAGATACATGTTATATCAATGGCACAGTATCTTCTCATTATGTAGCATGGTTGTCTTATGAAACGGTCGTACTTTCCAGTCCTATTCAAGTGCTGTGCGCCTCCACACGTCACACAGCTGCCTCTGAACATAAAGGCCACTTTAAAACATTGACGCTTTTCTTCTTTCTTTCAGCCCTGAAGGCAGTTACACAGATGATCACAGTCAGGAGCATCGGTCTCCACCGCAGCCAGACCCACATGAATTTGATGATGAGTTTGACGATGACGATCCTCTCCCTGCCATCGGCCACTGCAAAGCTCTCTACTCTTTTGATGGTACAAAAACAGCTCCTTGTTTAAAGGGGTCACGAAATGCCGTTTCAAATTTTCATATTACGTTTCTCAAGGTTAGTTTGTTTTTTGCACAAAAAAAAAAGGTCCAGTATTTGAGAAATTGATCATTTTCTATTCTCATTTTCACTCTCTGTGCAACACACTGATTTTGAAGCGCCATTAAGTAATTGGCCACTGCTGTGATTAGCTAACTTCATTTCACCATATTGTGTGTCCTGCTTTACAGCATAGCAAGGGTTTTGATACTCAAGATGACAGTCTGTTGTGAAATGTGAAAAACAAACGAAAACTTTATCTTTCACTCAGACACGTCGTTAAAACAATGTAACAATTCTCTTGGTTTCCGAAGGGTGGAAAAGAATAATTCATGTTTTAAACTGGGGGGAGATAGATTTGACTTCTGTAACTTGCAGTATGTTTATTGTCGAGTAGCCCCTTATATGGGTAACTATCAAGAACATTTTTATTCTCCTTTTAATGACCTCTTTAAGAGAATTTGAGTTCTGTTAAACACATTTGCGGCATAATGTGAATTATAAATGTCCATAAAAGCACCGTTTCATCGACCAATTGCACCCACACGAATTACTATATAAATGCAATGACAGATTTTCTACTTAATAACTCACAATAATTCACAAAGATTTCTGCTTTTGCACCTTCTAAATTAAATATTTTTAAGTTGAATTTATTTTCTGTGTTAATCAACAGTATGCCATAGTTACTGTGTTCATTTATGTGGCTTAAATTCTTATAGTATTAAAAATGTGTGTGTTCCTTAGGCTCTAATGAAGGCACATTGGTAATGAAGGAGAACGAGGTGCTGTATGTCATAGAGGAAGATAAAGGTGACGGATGGACACGGGTTCGGAAACAAGGGGGAGAGGAGGGCTACATCCCCACATCCTACGTGGAGATCACACTGGAGAAAAACAGCAAAGGTGCGGTCACCTACATATGACATCACCCACGGCAGCACCACCTAGTCATGACATCACACATGGGGGAGCGTGTGTCAGATTTACCGTGACTCATCAAGTGCAGCTCGGCTGACTGCCATATGCCTTTGTTCACCATGTGAGCCCAAGGACAAACACACACTGACACACTCTAAAAGTGACTATTTCCTCTGCACTGCTGCAGCAGATCAATCTATAGAATTGTAGAGATTTGTATTGTTTTTAATCAGTTTTATACCATCGGAGCAAACCTGAACAAAATGTATCAGCTCCTTTTCAAATATCTGTTTGTCTTAGAGAGTATAATAATGAGAAACACGGTCACACTTCAATCATCAGCTCTTATGTTTTATGCATGTTGAAACTAAAGTACACTCTTCCTGGAGCATCTCCTCAATGTTTCTACAGTTCAATCACTGTACGAGGAGACAGTGATGTACTTCTGACCTTTCAGTTCATGCAGTTCTTCCTGCAGTTTCATTTCAACTTTTCCTGCGAGTGCTACTCTTCTGTTTAAACTTGTAGTGGTGCAAGTTCCTTTTACTTGTGTGACCTGAAATTAAAGGAATATAATAAATGCAATCCAAGAAAATTGCAGAGCAGCATTCAGCTGGACCGTGACTCATCAAGTGCAGCTCGGCTGACTGCCATATGCCTTTGTTCACCATGTGAGCCCAAGGACAAACACACACTGACACACTCTAAAAGTGACTATTTCCTCTGCACTGCTGCAGCAGATCAATCTGTAGAATTGTAGAGATTTGTATTGTTTTTAATCAGTTTTATACCATCGGAGCAAACCTGAACAAAATGTATCAGCTCCTTTTCAAATATCTGTTTGTCTTAGAGAGTATAATAATGAGAAACACGGTCACACTACTAAAGTACACTCTTCCTGGAGCATCTCCTCAATGTTTCTACAGTTCAATCACTGTACGAGGAGACAGTGATGTACTTCTGACCTTTCAGTTCATGCAGTTCTTCCTGCAGTTTCATTTCAACTTTTCCTGCGAGTGCTACTCTTCTGTTTAAACTTGTAGTGGTGCAAGTTCCTTTTACTTGTGTGACCTGAAATTAAAGGAATATAATAAATGCAATCCAAGAAAATTGCAGAGCAGCATTCAGCTGGCTCACTAGCATCCTCTATATTTTTCTTCTGTCGCTGATCAATCTTTGTCGTCAGTGGACCTGTCAATGACTCAGTCTTCTCTTTTCTCTGTGGCTACAGGTTCCTGATTGGATGAGTGGGGTTCTGTGGTGTTTGGTGGACAGGACTCACTGCTGTGGGTCTGTTAGTGGGGCGGTGGGGCGAATTTAATACCAAAATTGTGTTGGGGCAGGTTGCATGTTTGCATGCTGTTTATGTCATGGCCATTAACATCATTCCATTGCAGCAGACGTTCCAGGGAATATCAGGGTGTGCTGGGAGGGCATGGGAGAACGGTGGAAAGACGCACTTGAGCAATAACGGAGAACCCAAAAAGAGTCTTTGCCTGGCACTAACATATTAAGCGGAATGTCTGTCTGTACCGTCATCTCATGTTCATCATAACATGCACCTGCATGATCCAGCAGCCTTTCATTCCTCATTCCGTTCTGACCAATTGACCCCTTATTAGGATTTAACCACTTATTTTCCCAACCACTTGTTTGTCTGTTTCCGTTGACTTCTCTTTCGACTACATTTCCTCTTTGATGCATTCCATGTTAACCATGATGTAAGTCTCAAAAGCATGACCAATCAGAGTAGAGGAAGCATGGTGCTTCAGTAGTCAATGCAACAGTCCCCACAGCAACATCCACCCACTGGCCTCGCCCCCTTTTACTTAGTCTGGAGGCTGGAAGGAGCCTGATGCAGTTCTGCATTTGACCAGCAAGGGGACCCAACACCTTATAAAACAAGCAGAGAGACGCCAGCGAGGACCTCTGAACACCAACCATCATCTCTGCCTTAATTACAGGCCTCTGTGTGGAAACTAAAGGCCTATAGGGGTCTATCTGACCCTCAGTGCCCAAAAAAAGTGCTCGTTCTTGGGCTGCCAGCTCTCTGCGGTGCTTTCTCCATTTCTTGTTCAGCTCCTGATGTCACATCTGCTAAAAGAACATGCTCACTGCCTCCTAACAAGGGACCACATGTCTCCAGAATCTGATCTCAAGTGCGTCTATTTGTGAATGTGATTCTTACATATAAAACTCTGTGCATATGGATGCATATTCGCATATGTATATACCTAGTTAGTTTTTATTATTAAACTGTATGTATTAACATCTTTAAAATCAGAATGAATGTTTTTATCGTGGCTTTTTTTTTTTTTTACCGAGTGAGTGACTTTCAGGCTTTACTTTTAAGAACCGTGCCGTAATCGCTTTGTAACCAGTTTTTCTTCCTGTCTGAACTCTGTTTTCAATAGGAGCCTGGTCTTAACCGATGCACTTTTTACCCTGTTGCATTTGAATTGGAATATTAGGGAGTGAATGATGTCTGATGTGAATGCTTCCTTTTGTGTGAATGTGTTGACAGCGTTGACCACTATATACTGGGGATTGTGTTGGAGCAAGAGCAACCGAGAAATAAATACCTGTGTCTTGTCTCGTTCATCCTGACTTTCATTTCTTGGAGTTCTTCACTCTGTTTAGATTGATGTATTTTATATTCCTACTGCATACAATGAATTTAGTCACGATTGCTTGTTTTTTCAGCAGCCAAGGTTTCTAACCTGCAAATAATGTATGTGCAGTGCATCATGGGTTGTAGATTCAAAACGTTTTAAGTTTGGGGTCAGTAAGATTTTTTTTTTTTTATGTTTTTAACCAGATATCTAATGTTTTAGACTCACCAGGGCTGCATTTAATTGATTAAAATGCAGGAAAAACCATACTATTGTGAAATATAATTTAAATATAGAAGAACTGTTTTGTATTTTAATATATTTAAAAATGTAATATTTTCCATTAATGGTAAAGCTGAATTTTCAGCAGCCATGACTCCAGTCTTCAGTGTCACATGATCCTTCAGAAATCATTCCGATATTTTTATTTTGTGCTCAAGAAACATTTCTTTCTGCTTAATATTTTTGTGGAAATTGATACATTCTTTGATTAATAGAAAGAACAGCATTTATTTAAAATAAAAATCTTTAATTAGAAAAAAATCAGTTATACTACTTTAAAGCAATTTAACACATCCTTGCAGAATTTAAAAAATCGTGCTGATCCTTACACAGTATAACACATATGAGAAAAAATGTGTAACAATTAAAAAGCTTTTATTAGATATTTATTCAATATTTTCAGAATATTTCATTTACGGGTGACTATTTACAGGTCAATAATACAATATATTACACAAACTAGCCTTTACATGCGTACACTATAGTGATGATTATGTACATCTTTTTCCATGTGGTATTTTTAAAAATGATCAACACTGCTTTGACCAATGGGCTTCATGATATTTCTAATTGTACAAACATTACTACCTCATGTTCCTTCAAAGAGCTGCATATTTGTCTTGAAGGTGTAGTCCATCATCTCAGTCCTCTCTTATCCATCACTTAATGTGTCAAATGATTGAGCACATCCATACACCTCTCATGAAATGTTCTCTCTGCCTCCAGCAGTATCTGTATTTCTTTGTGTGGATGATATGTTGGCCATTAGATATATTCTATGTACCCTTCCTTCTTTTCTTGAAGGCAAAACTGGTACCTGCCCATTTCATAAGTGTGGAGCACAGCACACCTCTGGAAGGTGCAAATGGAACAAAGTAGCTCTCCATAGTCAAGTGCCATTTGTGCTCATGAATAGCTTCCGACTTATAATCTGCATGTGATCTTTTGAAGCTCGCATTCTGTTGGAGAACATACTTTTTCAGATGCAGGCGATTTTTGACCTGACTTGACCCCACAGAGAGGTTCAGAGAGTCTAATATGTATATAAAGTGTCTGGTTTTTCAGAGTTCTGTGTGTTTGACTGGAGGCTCTAGTTTTCTGGACAGGGCCATAAGGATGAGTTTGAATTTGTCGTATCGCTCTGTCTGTTCCACAGCTGCCCCCCTGCTGCCCCATAGCAGACGCAACTGGAAATCAGTCCTCAAGATCTCCAACATGTCATCATTAGGTTGGAATCCTGGAGAGAGAGTCAAATATCATTTAAAGAATGATTGTTGGCAGCGCTGTACAATGTTTCAATTTATTGTCATTTAATGCAATAGATGTTCATACTTTAGCTATTGTTAAATGAGAATATTTTAAATGTTAAAAATGTATTGGTATATAGAGATTAACCTCAGTTAATAAATGCTGAGCATTGTTCATTGTTAAAGATACCAAATTGTAAAATGAAACTTTCTTTCTTTCAGTACATATCACTGTAGTAGTTGCTTCATTGTGAGTCAGACATGACTAAAGGAATGATAACTTGTTCAGTAGGTAGATCATGATAACTGTTAGTAACTGCTCTAAATGATTTCTTAGACTGTTGGAGAGTCTTTTTGAGTGATTCTTTTGAACCAGCTCATTAGTTTGTGAATCAGACTACATTGGTCTCGCTCTGTGCTTGTTTTGGTAACCAGGCCTTTTAACTTCCTGAGGGAACCCATGATTTGAATGCAGATTTTCTTCTGGATTTTATGACTATGACCTGAACAGTTTTATTGCAAATCCAATGGCGTATGAATTTTCTATCACATAAATGTGTTTGGATCACAAATTCCCTCAAGTTAAAGCACCATGTTACTCCTGATATGATTGTTGTAATGTCCTTGTCTTACCCTGGAGGATCCGCTGTGCGTTGCAGCTGTATGTGTCCGCATTGCGTGCAACAGCACGAGCTCCTTCCAAGTGCCGGAACATGATTTCACAGCCTTGGTCGTTGTTCTCCCAGGCGTCCATACCCTCGAAGGTGACCGCAGGCCTCTCCATCAAGGTGAGCAGCGGCATTAGCAGCGGAACACTGGCATTGCTCAGTGGGACTTCAGCTGGAAAGACAAGAACAAGGACTTACCTAAAGGTGACCTATGAAGGGCATTTTAAATGTTTAAATATGTTCAGAAACTCACCACTTCTTTCATAGAGTCCTTTGTAGAATGGTTTCAAGGATTTCTCATAAATAATGGCAGTCTGCGTATATTTTCTTCGCAAACTAGTCCACGTATGATCCAGTCTGGTAATCTGTTTATACAACAAAGTTCACACGCATTAAAGCATGTTTCCTACACTTGACCACACTGAGGGGGAGAAAAGTCTCTAGCTCAAGTCAAGCGAAAGGGGCAGCTAGAAGGAGCTGCTGGGTACCTGAGGCATGTCCAGTGCTTTCATTATAGAGGAAAAGGCATAAAGATCTCCCATGGAGTCTTTCAGCTCCAGAGCGACCAGAATGATCCGGTTTAGTGTGGCTGCTCTCTCCTCCAGACTTCCTGTACACCCCAGGATATCCACAGCAACTCCAATCGCCATAGTGTTATGCCTGTTTAAAAAGAACCAGCCATGCATGTTAAATGCGTGGCCTACAAGACTCTGGATACGGCAAATTACTGTCTGTGAATGTTACTACAGGACTGTCTGCAAAAAAGCCTCTGTTTAGACTGTTTAGCTTATGTAAGAGTTAATATTCTCTGAAAGAGAATCATCATAAATCTGCTTAATAGATCATGTGTTGACAGCATCCGTTTACCTTTCCATGAGGTCCTGCCGCAGCTGTCTCCCATGAGGAAGGGTTACCAGCTCCAGCCCAGAGGTCACACCCATTTGACCTTTCACCTCCTCTGAAACATTTAGTATCCTAGCAACCTGTAGCATGAACACACAGCGTTCGCATCAAATTAATTAACATCCAGAATCAAAAAGCATTGCACAGAAGCTAAGCTAAATTTGGGCTGTGGGTGGGTCGACTGTTTTTGTCCATAATATTGGTCCTGTGACTGACATAATCAGCCAGCTTAAAATGTAATTCCCATATACACAGACAAACAATCTGAAGCTGCTTTCAGAAGCAGAAAGATTGAAAGTGGACAATCACATGTATAAGAGGCTTTTTGGGTCATTTTTAATTGGATTAATCTACATTCAGCCCCTGCAGTGTGGCACAACTGTGGTCTTGTCCTCTGATTGGCTGGAAGAACCAGTCTGCAACCTGAAGAATTTTGTAATGTGTGCACTACTGTTAAAATTGGAGTCTGTAATATATTTTTTGAAGAAAGTCATACTTTTATTCAGCCAAGATGCATTCATTGATCAAAAGTGACAGTAAAGATAATTATAATGTATAAAATATAGTATAATAAACTTTCTATTGATCATGTAAATTTTTTTACTGTATTTTTGATCAAATTAATGCAGCCTTGGTGAGCATTGCAAGAAGAGACTTCTTTCAAAAACTTTGAAAAAGTTTGTATATAATTATATTTAAGGCTTAAAATGACCTGTTAAATATAGCCATTTAAGCTACATAAACAGTAATAGTTGCCTTAAATCCTAATTAGCTATTTGGAAGGTCCAGTTTAGTTAATCCATAAGGTCTCATGAACTATTACATTTAAATATACAGTTAATTTCTACAAATATAGCACCTTTTTAGCATTTCAAGTTGTAGAGATTTATATTAATGTATCAGCAACAAACACATTTACAATGAGTAATGGCATATTTATAAATTAACATGAACCTACATTAATAAATGCAGTTTCAAATTGTTTTTCAACATTAGTTCATGATACCTAATGCATTAATGCCGATGAATTGAAAAGAATCGATATTAATATAACAAATTTAGAATTGATGTTGACTTCAGAGGCTTATAATTATATTACCTGGCAGTCTGCTTTCAGGATGTGTTTGGCGATGGTCTTTGGATCCTGACTGACGAACAGCTCTTTGGCTTTCTTCAGCACGGTCATCTCCAGTGGCTTGTTCTCCACTGGTAGAAGCCGGAAGTTGATGTCACCAGGTTTGAACGCTGATTCAGTTTCAAACACAGGTCTTTGGAAGCCTTTCTTGCAATCCCGTTCTTTATCCACATCCTCCTCACTGTCGTTGTTTAGGGCCTTGATGGCATTATGGTAGGAGCTACGGTCTAGTTTAACGCTACTATCACTTCTCCTTAACTCCTCCTCAGTCTTTAGCCTCTCCACATAGCCGTTAGCCTGTGAGCTATTCATCTTTTCCCAGTCAGCAGGGCTGCATGGACTCAGTTCACAGTAGCTTAATTCTGGACTGCCCGACTGCTGCTGTTGCTGAGATAAAGGTTGATGTTTATGAGGCTTTACTGGGGGGACAGGTGGGGAGAGGGTCTTCAGGCCTGGGGTGCAGGATACTCTCATAGAGGGAACCTTGCTGGGTTTAGGGGGCGGTTTGGGACACAGCTGGCTGTCAGATCCACGAATGGCCTCGCCAGGATGGGTGTCAAAGGCCATTCTGCGTGACACTGTGGGGCTCAGAGCTGGCTCGCTTCCTGTGCGGAAAACTGGGGATTTGGGGCATGGCTGGTGCTCCATATGCTGAACCTGAGCCTGGGGCCTACAGCCTAAAAGCAAAGGTGTACGTTCATATGCATGATATCAGCTATTTATTCATTAAAGTAGACAGTATGTTGTAGATGGACATGGTAAAAAAGGAAGATAAATTCAAAGCTTTTCTTTTGGCATTCTGCATATCAAAGCAAATTCAGCACTCTGTTTTCTGAAATGGACAGCAGAGCTGCATTTTTTGCATAACCATATTTATTCCACTGACACAGGCATAAATTATCTCCAGCCCCACTTTCATTCTTCTCCACAGAGCCTCTTCAACAAAACATTTTATTTTGCATTTCAATCCCACGTCTCATTTCACACATTTAACGTTCAGTAACCCAAAGTGAATTTCAAAGAAAACGTTAGCTTGAGTTGGAGAATCACTTTCTCTTTGACACAAAGTGAATGACTGGTTTTCAGGGCTGTCAGACTTGTTATCACTGAAGGGTTGGAGGCGTGACGGGGGGAAAAAATGAGGATGAGAGCTGACAGGCACTCACCGATAGGGAGAAAGCTCTCCGACTGATGGGTCTTCAGTGGCCGTCTCCTCTCCTGAACGTGGTTTAGACATGCTGGTTGACTCCCACACTTATCTTTGTTGCTGTGAAGGAGAAAGACAGGTCACTTCGTTTGTTCTCTAAAAGTCTTTTGGACTATGACATGAAGTTTACACCACTTTTAACTGAGTTCATTTCAAAGGTCCTGATGCATGGCATGCATTTTTAAAAGTACAAATTCAGTGCAGTCTCTCAATTAATGTTAGGCAACCTGCACAATTATTTTAATACCATTTTTAAATTGCTAAGTTAATAAGCTATTTTGACACATTGTTTTGAAAAGTTAGACTCCCATGTGCTGAATCTGCACAAATAAGTAGAACTTTCACTTAATTTATGCTTATTGATGCTAAAAAACTCTTTATATAAACGTGGAGCTGTCACATCGTAGGACTGAATAACTGAACATGTAAATAGTTCCACATAAATAATAAAAATTTAATCAATATTACAAAAGTAATGCTTGCTATTTTCCTAATTTACACGCTTGAAAAATGCCTTGTTTCCTTATGAGCAAACCTGTCAAGGATTTCCAAGAGATGGAGTTTCTGAATTACACTACAAGTCCTGATAAGTATTGACAAAATTATATAGGTTTTATTGTAAAGGTTTGAGGTTAATATGTAAATTCATGACTTGTCTCTTTTCAAAGTAGACCCCAATTATATAATGCCAGTTTAATTCAATTGTATTACTAGTATTGCATATTTTAATGCTTCTTTTCTATTTCTAGTTCAAGATGGACAGTCAAACCACAGATACATTTCCTTTTACTTGAAATAGCTCAATTGAATCACGTGAGCTAAATCTCTGTGATTTACTTTCTAGCCAAGTGTTGAAAATATGAAAGGAATTAATTATTGGCCTCTCTTTTTTGGGGGACAGGTAAATTACGTGCATTACAAATTACATGGGGAAAAAAAGCCTAAATACAGATTACGAAAAAGCCACATTATACAAACTGTTTGAAAACTAGAATTTTTAATTATTAATTTATCAATCCTTTAACGGGTAAAATAATTAATCTCTCTTATTTTCTGAAATATATGATTAAAAAGTATTCCAGAATATTTCTTCTTGGTGGTAAAGTGTGGCAATGCATAATAGTGTCAAGTGCCTTAGGATAGTCTTTCTCTCACCTGAGGAGGTTCCCACGGCTGAGGGTGTGATCCTGGGTGTGTCCGTTCATGATATTCAGACTCAACCGTTTGGAAGTCAGGCTCTTTCTCTCGGAGTATCCCGCCTCTGCACGTATAGATCCAACTCCGTATTTCTCCTCCAGGCATCTCAGAGGCAGAGCTCTGTTGATTGGCTGAAAGATGATCGCTCCGACAACCTCAGATACTGGCTCACGGTTGCCTACGTAGTATCGCACCAACGCAGGGACGCTGTCAAATCCCACCTTCTCAAATAGGTACTGAACACGTGAGTAGGCCTCGTTCATGGCTACTACCCGTTTGTTGATTTTGAAGTGTTGAGGTGTGTTCTTCCACTGGCAGGTCAGAACGTAGTTTCCCGGGCTGGACAGGGAGTCTCGGATCAGAAAGTCTCCATCTCTCTGAACCAGGTTATCAGCCACCTTAGATTCAAACATACACACACAATTTTTTTTGTTTTTGTAGTACTGCTTTTCTCTCTTTCATATATATTTTCCTTCCTCTTTAATTTCAAGTGTGTTGCATGTTGGATCTTGGCCTAGATGTTAGTGCACATGCACATTAAGTTATGGTGTTCATGCAGGAGCTCAAACAAGCTCCAAAAGTGGAGGAACATATTGAAGGTAGTATGACTTTGATACTTTGATATTCTGTCTAATCAGATTATGTACACATCCTCAGCAAACATTACGGAACTACTTTTATGACAGTGATTCATGGCATGACCTAGATTACTTTCTTTTGTGGATCACTAGTGCATTCAACCAGTTTAGAATGATGGACTACCTCTCCAAACTGAATGTTAGGTTTCTGGAAGCTGTTCAGAATATTAATTCGGAGTCAGTATGTAAATCATTCTGGAGATGTTTGATTATGTCTTTAATTGATTTTTCCGTACATTTCTGTACATTTATACAAATAAGCTTGAATTGAATTGAATTGGAGATCAGAAAAATCAGCCTAGAATAATGGGGGGGGGGTATATTTTTATATATTTCCTTATTTGTTTTAATATATCATTGTCTTTACTTTTTATTTGAAGAAGTAAGTAAGTTTACATGTCATTTTTTCATATTACTTCTGACTAGGTGCTCATGAAAAGATCAAACACTAATAAATCTGTTAGCATGTGTGTTTGGTGCAGTGGGGCGGCAGTGGCACCAGGAAAAGAGTCATTAAGTGTGATTAGAATTGAGTGTTTATGACTGTTTTTTTTTATGACATGCTAAACAGCTATTCTCAGGCTTTCTTATGGTATAAAACAGCAGCTAAAAAGCTTAGAGTTTGCTATACAGCAATGCTCAGATAGTTACGGCAATGCTATGTGTTTGTCCAAATCTGCATCCTTCCACAGGTTGCTGCCTGCCTTGTCATCTATTATTAAGTATTCATCTTTTTTTCCACAGTGACAAATAAAAGACATTTACAGGGAACACTTTTGAAATCAAGCACAGGTCATTTCACACCACTGGTCATAAAGAGATGCATGTCAAATCGGTAAGTGCTTGTCTTTCCTCTTCCCTTGTCTGTAGTTTGTTTGATTAACTTGAGCCGAGCAGATCAGACTCGTCCAGCTGAAAGACTCATGGGTAAACACAAGCTGTAGTGCAGCACACTTGCTGTCAGGGGTTTTGTGATAACCACAGGGTGTGTAGTGATCCAAGGACCACTCCAATGAATCAGACGCAATGCTGATTCCTCTTAACAGTGCTGATGGCTAATGTAGTGTAATTGTAGAGAATGAATCCCCACAAAAATGCTTTATTTAAGGGCACCTTTTTATTCATTGTGTTAGCTGTAGGAGTTTGTCTTACTCATGAACCCGATGAACTATATTCTAAGGTCATTCATAAGTTGTGTTGAGCCATGATGAATAGGTTTTTTCTATTGTGACTGGTATATTTGTGGTGTAAGCAGCAGCCTGACTCTGGATGCTGGTAGCTCTGATCATATGATGCCTTTAAATAAATACACCTCGGGTCAAATAGCAGTCATGCTTCATCACTATATTAACCACTCTTGCTCTGCTACAATTGTTGATGGATGAGTTGTCAGTTTCAGGGGCATATCTTGCAAAAAGGCATGGGAAAGAGGAGCCAGGGTACATTCAGCAAACATTACGGAACTACTTTTATGACAGTGATTCATGGCATGACCTAGATTACTTTCTTTTGTGGATCACTAGTGCATTCAACCAGTTTAGAATGATGGACTACCTCTCCAAACTGAATGTTAGGTTTCTGGAAGCTGTTCAGAATATTAATTCGGAGTCAGTATGTAAATCATTCTGGAGATGTTTGATTACGTCTTTAATTGATTTTTCCGTACATTTCTGTACATTTATACAAATAAGCTTGAATTGAATTGAATTGGAGATCAGAAAAATCAGCCTAGAATAATGGGGGGGGGTATATTTTTATATATTTCCTTATTTGTTTTAATATATCATTGTCTTTACTTTTTATTTGAAGAAGTAAGTAAGTTTACATGTCATTTTTTCATATTACTTCTGACTAGGTGCTCATGAAAAGATCAAACACTAATAAATCTGTTAGCATGTGTGTTTGGTGCAGTGGGGCGGCAGTGGCACCAGGAAAAGAGTCATTAAGTGTGATTAGAATTGAGTGTTTATGACTGTTTTTTTTTATGACATGCTAAACAGCTATTCTCAGGCTTTCTTATGGTATAAAACAGCAGCTAAAAAGCTTAGAGTTTGCTATACAGCAATGCTCAGATAGTTACGGCAATGCTATGTGTTTGTCCAAATCTGCATCCTTCCACAGGTTGCTGCCTGCCTTGTCATCTATTATTAAGTATTCATCTTTTTTTCCACAGTGACAAATAAAAGACATTTACAGGGAACACTTTTGAAATCAAGCACAGGTCATTTCACACCACTGGTCATAAAGAGATGCATGTCAAATCGGTAAGTGCTTGTCTTTCCTCTTCCCTTGTCTGTAGTTTGTTTGATTAACTTGAGCCGAGCAGATCAGACTCGTCCAGCTGAAAGACTCATGGGTAAACACAAGCTGTAGTGCAGCACACTTGCTGTCAGGGGTTTTGTGATAACCACAGGGTGTGTAGTGATCCAAGGACCACTCCAATGAATCAGACGCAATGCTGATTCCTCTTAACAGTGCTGATGGCTAATGTAGTGTAATTGTAGAGAATGAATCCCCACAAAAATGCTTTATTTAAGGGCACCTTTTTATTCATTGTGTTAGCTGTAGGAGTTTGTCTTACTCATGAACCCGATGAACTATATTCTAAGGTCATTCATAAGTTGTGTTGAGCCATGATGAATAGGTTTTTTCTATTGTGACTGGTATATTTGTGGTGTAAGCAGCAGCCTGACTCTGGATGCTGGTAGCTCTGATCATATGATGCCTTTAAATAAATACACCTCGGGTCAAATAGCAGTCATGCTTCATCACTATATTAACCACTCTTGCTCTGCTACAATTGTTGATGGATGAGTTGTCAGTTTCAGGGGCATATCTTGCAAAAAGGCATGGGAAAGAGGAGCCAGGGTACATGGTTTTCATAAGAGCGGATCTGTAGCTGTCAGCACTGTGATGTTTGACATGATGAGAAACTGTTGACGGCTGTTTTTGAATAAAGAATTGGTGTTAATGAACCACCCAGAATATTCTAAGGTCTTGCGGAGCGGACTACATTCTAGCATTCAGTCCGGACTCCACATTTAGTGTTTCGTTTCAGTGAAATGTTTTTTTTCCTTGATCATGGATGAAGTCTGGGTGTGAAAGTGGTTTTTCTTGTTCTGGACAGGTTTGGCGCCTGTCTACCAGTTCAGAACAAGTGTTGATCAACCATTAAATAGGCTCTTAAATACACCATAGCCCTTCCATGTTGCCAAACAAATACTTGCCACTTCTATATGCTTATTGTTTTTTCTTATTTCTACCATCTAATCATCAATATGCACTTTAACATAGCCAAGCAAGTAAAATTGCATATAAAAGTGAAAGGAACATTTTAGAACACTAGACACTGTATTTATAGGTTATTATTTAGTTCAGCATGCCTATTTATAAATGTAATGTTAGTAAAATATATAATCATTTTTGACCTTTGTTTTTGATGTATTAGCATGGTTTTTGGACACTGTAGCTTGTTATGAATCATGATAATACAATAGTATTCTCTGAAGTAACTTGCATGTGGTATCAGAGAACCGTGATACTGATCTCATACATCATGATACTTCCATAGTACTTTTTTGTATATTTAAGAAGTTAGCCATAAGAACATCTAATATCCTCAGTGTTTTTTCTTCCCTTAATCAAGCATTACTGGCTCTAGCTGAAGCAAATATGCAATAAGCAAAATAAGCAATAATAAATAAGCAAAAAATGGCCACATGTCTTTAATTCATTATCTTTGTCTACAAAGAAAGTGAATGTTTGAGTGCTAGACACAGGCATGACTTCATTGTCACTTAAGGAGAGAACAGCTATGCTTTGACAGCAGAAAGATCTCTACTGTCTAGCAGATTCAACTTTTGAACAATACTGCATACACATATATTAAATCACGGAAACCACAGAAAGCCTCTATAATCCAAACATTATCCCATAATGATCACCCACCCCTCTCCCTCTTTATATGCCCAGTAAAGTTGTACCTGTCTAGGGATGGCTCCATGATACCAGGCATGGCTCCGTGGTTCCTCACTGCTCAGTTTCAGTTCTTCTTCTAGTTCTCGCCAAAGCTTTTCCGGTGGTCCATCCATGATGTACTTGTCCCTTGAAAACTGCACATAGATGGGCACAGAAGAGTATGTTAGAGCCATGGCGGCCCTAGATAGTATGTTAGTCCCTATGATTGAAGTATATGTGTATCAGTCTTTTATTAGTCTCCTCTCTTTTTCTATTGCCCTCCCTTCTTTTTGCTCTGTGACTCAGTATCTGACTGGCTGATGGATCCCGTGCTTCCTGTGCTGATCTGTTTACTGTGACGCATAAGTCCCTCCTTCTTCCTGTCTATCTCCGCCTCCGTAAGCCACAGGGCATGCCATACCTTTACCTGCACACACACCCCACTGCTCTGAATCATCATGTGGATTTCACAATTGAGGAATTTAAGAACAGTTCTTTTCAATAAGCTGCTGAAAAGGAATACACTCATTAGTTATTTTCTATGAAACATGAGCTTTGCTTAGTTTGTACTAATACCATAAATCTAATTTGTAAGATACTTAGCAAAGTATGTTATCTTTCCCGACAAGGTTGTTTCATTCATAAGCTTGATTTCAGTGCCTCAATAACATAACTCAGTCATGTGAGCAGATTGTCAGTGAAATAGATTTTCAAAAAACAAAAACACTTTATACTTTCATGTGTTTCATCATTGATCCCTTTCCAACAATTGAAATATAGACTGAACATGCAATTTTAATACTCACAATATCCTCCATGTCTTACAAATAGTTGTTTGCAAACAAAGTAGGAGTTGTATTAATGCTCATCTGTGACCAAATTAATCTGGCTATGTTTGGAATGTATACTAATGTACTGTACATCTAATGTGTCATGAATGACAAAAGCTTTATTAATAAATTAATAAAACTGTAATAAAAAAGTACAGTCTTATATGTCACAATAGGAAAGAAAAGACGATTTCAACTTCCGTTTTTTTTTGTCAACTTTAAATAAATGCTGTTCTTTGGAACTTTCTGTTCATCAAAGAATCTGGAAAAAAAAATCTTAATAATTTAGTACAAAAATTATTCAATTCAAGTTTATTTGTATAGCGCTTTTCATGATACAAATCGTTGCAAAGCAACTTTACAGCAAATTAAGTTTCTACAATATTTAGTAGTAGCTTATCAGTGGTGACTGTCAGTTAATGTACATATGGCAGAAATGTACGGAAAAATCAATTAAAGACGTAATCAAACAGACGATGAACACTATTAACAGCAATTATTATATGATGCAATCAAACTTATAATTTTGAGGGTAATTAAAAAATTATAATTTTCTACAAAATATTAAGCAGCACACCTGTTTTCAACATAAGCAACAACTCAGCTAAAATCCATTCTTTTAAATTTAAATGAATAATAGTTAACTATATTACTTTTTTATCAAATAAATGTATCCTTAGTGAGCATAAGAAGACTTATTTCAAAAACATTTAAAAATCTCAAAGATGCCAAACTTTTCAACCTATCCTTCTCAACCATATTATTTGACTAAATAATATGGCAGTTTTTTTAAGAGGGTTTAAGCACTTTGTGGTGTTCCTAACAACACTCTTTAAACATGGTAATAATAATATTACTATCATGGTTTATTGCTTTATCAACCATGAAAGGATGGATTGCATGCTGTGCTTGTGGCAAAAAAAGAGGCTGTTCCATATTTTAGATAGGGGATTTCAAGCATATTTGTGTGTTGCCTTCTTTTTGGTTAAGTGCTTGGAATGCCAGCTATGTGTGGTACCCAACCTCAGAGACCTAAAGTGGTACCTTTGTGCTCTAGCTGGTAGTTGTGTGCAGTGGGTACTCAAGCACGGCACTGCAGCATAACCCCCAGCTAAATCTGTGCGTGAGGGGAAAATTCCCAGCAGGACTCCTCGTTTCAACTTTGTAGTTGTGATCTATTGAGTAATATGTCAAATAAAACTGACGTAAGGGCAAAGGTAATTGGAATTGATGAGTGACTGTCTGTGTGTGCGTGCTGCTCAGTAGTGGATACTTCAACTAACCCTAACCCACTCTTGTATTAATGGGCAGTGTTTATAATATTTTAAATGTATAAATAAGATATTTCTCAAAGCACACATTATTGTGTAAATTACAATAAAAATCTGTGTAGCATGTGAAAATGTCATTTTAATTATGTAAAAACTCATTATACATTTCATGTTTTTTCCTGGACTGACAGTAGCACATGAGCTACATCAGTTTTCTGTGATGTTGAGAAGATGCTTAGCTGTCTTTTTTGCTCTCTCTCTTATGTCCAGTGACCCACAGCCCAAGCAGTGTCTGTCAAGCATGTCTGGCAGTTATTAGGATGTTACTGACCACAATCTGTCACTGTGGTCCACCACAAACCACTGCACACAGGCCTGGCAATGCTGGACATCTTTAAATCTGACAAAGATCTTATATGATATTTTGAGAGAGGACAAAATACATTAACAAAAAACAAACATCATATAATAGCAATAAGTTTGGATTTTACCCTTAATGTTTGAAATGCAGGGTTTAAAATAGCCTTTTATAAATAGCCATATTCTAATTATGTTCTTATTTTTCAGTTATGTGAACTATGTGAACAGATACATTAGTATTCATTTATTTATGAATAATTTTAACATGTTTTAAAGGGTTAGTTCACCCAAAAATTAAAATTAGCTTGTGTTTTAATTACCCTCAAAGCATCCTAGGTGTATTTGACTTTCTTCTTTCAGACGAATCCAGTCGGAGTTATATAAAAAATTGTCCTGGCTATTCCAAGCTCTATCATTGCAGTCAGCGGGTGTTGCAGTTGAACAGTCCACAAGTCGTCAAATAAAGCGTGCGCATTCATAATAAAACGTGCCACAGACGGCTCCGGGGGGTAAATAAAGGCCCCCTGTAGCGAATCCATGAGTTTTTGTAAGAAAAATATCCATATTTCAAAGTACTAAACACTTTTCTCTCACTTCCGCTGACTGTCATACACTGAAGCAGTTCCGGCGGATGACGTAAGACGCGCGGCGGTGCGTGATTAGTGACGAATGCAGAGAGAGAACAAAACAAAACGTCGGTCACGAATTAGAAGTACAAACCGAAGATTTCCAAGGAAAAATGTCAGAAGATATAGATATAAACCAAGAGGAGACTGGTTTTCCTTTGCTAAAGTAAAGAAACTTTGCTTCCTTTGCTCCTATTAAACAAACTCGCGAGACTAGCATATCTCAGAGGCGCACGCGCTGCGCATACGTCATACACCTTCCGCCAGAACGGATCCGCGTATGACAGATAACGGTAGTGAGAGAAAAGTATTTATTATGTTTGAAATATGGATATTTTTCTTTCAAAAACGTATGGATTCACTACAGACGGCCTTTACTCACCCCCCGGAGCCGTCTGCGGCACGTTTTATTATGAATGCGTGAGCTTTATTTGACGACTTGTGGACTGTTCAACTGCAACACCCGCTGACTGCAATGATAGAGCTTGGAATAGCCAGGACAATTTTTAATATAACTCCCGACTGGATTTGTCTGAAAGAAGAAAGTCATATACACCTAGGATGCTTCGAGGGTGAGTAAAACACAAGCTAATTTTCATTTTTGGGTGAACTAACCCTTTAAGGGTGTTGTTAGGCACAATGTGAAGCAAAATACTTAAAAATAACAAGGCACTCTGTAAATAAATTCATAAATTATTTAAATTTGTTTAATAAATAAAGTATTTACTTAATAACTTATTTATTTTATGAGGGTTTTAAACACTTTGCTTTACTCAGATGACATCTACAGTAATATTGCTTTCTAGAACATTTGACCCTAAGTGGATAACAAACAGTTGATTGCTGGGAGAGATATACATTTTGCCATAAGATCTCTTAATTCTAGCCTCTGGGTAACTGATTTGTGTTGGGAAAGCATCACACACACACACACACACATATGGAAGAGTCTTATCACTTCCTTTTTTGAGCAGCTAGTGGATAATCCTGGCCAATTTATCCTCATGTCAACTCTCTGTCACTGATCATTCAACAGCTTTAAAAGCACAAAATGTTTTCAGAGGACTCAGCCTGAAGGGCACTTTTGAGATGGTCAGGTATTATGATTACTTGAAAGGCTGTAACAAAGCCACTGAATTAAAGAGTTGTGCATTTCTTTGAAAGCAAACTATAAAAGCAATTATGGGCGTATTAAACTGAATTTATTCAAGTCATGCCACGCAACAGACAGTTTTTCCCTTTATATGGAGAAGCTTCGAAGATCCTTACTATGTATAGAGACTGACAAACCCAGGCCACAGTGAGGACTGAAATACACTCTGATGCCTCTGGTATTGTAGTGAGGGACAGGCGTTACACCCTCTCCATTTATACAACAGCGAGCCAAGCCAACACCCCGCAAGCCACAAATTACAGTGACCAGACGACACATACTTTTACCCTGGCTGGGAAAATCATCCCAAAGCACTTGTTTGTGCTCAGTGTCTTCAACTGTATTACTCAATACAGTGACTAAAACAACCAACCAAAATAGAACTTTTAGTAAAAACATATGAGCATGAGACTTTATTCTGTTTGTGCTGAATGCAAATATTTTTTGGACCTGCTGTTCACATTTTAGGTATTATGACTGCTTATCTGGCACGGCCGTTGCATTCATTCTGCGCTATGACATCGTCGATCCATTTAGAGGTGCACAGAGGCCGTAAATGTTTAAAATTAGCCAAAGCTCAATAGCTCAAGCAGCTCGATAGCACCATGACGAATAATCCCTCCATCAAGGAGCGGTGTATACATATTTGTACATCAAATCAATCACCTCTACTTTTAGTTGTAGCCATTTATATATTGCCATTTTTATCTTCACACATCTGAGGGGCTGATTGCTAGGGGCTGATTCTTTTTAAATAGTGGCATGCTTTTTAAATGTGAATTATAATGAAGCATTTGGATGTATTGAATTAAGCTTCAAGGGCCTCATTGGGTAAGTGCAGAGCACAGGTTAGCTATCAACAGCACAATGGGCCACATAATGACAATATACGAGACACTACAGTCTTAATAATAG